GAACATTGAAGAGGAACCTGGTCTGAGGCTCCTTGGAGGTCCGATTCAAAGGCTGGGCACGGAAATCAGAAGATGGACCTGGAGTATCTCATTGCGCCAGAAAGAAAGATAGTAATTTTTTCTTTAAAGGATGGGCCATGTCAAAACCACACAGGAATCAATCCAAAAGATCTTCCAACGGCCAAACTAAGGCACTTTGAACAACAGAATAAATAACAAGAGTATTGGATTATTACCCAAACAATAAAATAAATATCCATAAGCCCAGAGCGATATAAACAGATGATTGAATAAGGGAATCAGTGGGGGAGAAGGGACAAGTCTTTCCTACAGAAGAATTCCAAATAATAAATGTACGAGGTATGAGGGAAATAAGGAATCACCATTAGCGCCCTGGCCAGTTTGCTCAGTGGTTAGAGCCTCGGCCCGCGGACTGAAGGGTCCCGGGTTCTAGTCCGGTCAAGGGCACGTACCTCGGTTGCAGGCTCGATCCTGGCCAAGGTCGGGGCATGTGCAGGTGGCAACCAACCCATGTGTCTCTCTCACATCGAGGTTTCTCTCTCTCTCCCTTCCACTCTCTCTGAAAAGCAATGGAAAAGACATCCTTGTGTGAGGGTTAAAAAAAGAAAAGAAAGAAATCGCCATTAGTCAGAGCCACCGCTGAATGCTAAAACGAGCAGGCAGACCTTTAAAGAGAAGCAGAATAGCCGCACAGGCGCCAGGCATCTCCCCTGAGCGACCTGTGGTTCCTGCTGAGGCGCAGCACATGACCCCGCAGCCTGCAGCTCCCGCCTTCGGTAGGCAGACTGGACTGTGACTCTTCCAGCCAGAGCGTGGGGAGGAAGAGATGGGAGCTTGCCAGCGGGGGAAGCTGGCGGCATCGCTCTGACCAAGGGATCAAGGCCAGCATCCCCCACGACAAGCTGTGTTGACAGCACGTGTCCCTGATAGGATGCGGGGAGAAGGGCCCATCACTTCGTGATAGTCTTCCCCCAAACCCGCACCCTCAGTTTGATCATGAGAAAACATTAGACAAACGCAGCCTGAGAGGCACTCTGCACAATACCTGACCAGGGCTCCTCCGGGTCACGGCCGCGAAGGAGAAGGCAAGCCTGAGAAACGGCCACAGACGGGGGCCGAAGGAGACGGGACGGCCAAAAGTAAGGCGGTGTCCTCGATGGGGTCCCCGAGCAGAAAGAAGGCCCTAGTGGGAAAACTGGGCAAATCCAAATAAAGTCTATAGCTTAGTTGATATCTCAGTCTCGATAGACGTCGCTGGGTCACGCCTGTCACCATTCGTGGGGGATGTGTATGCAGAAACTGCATGGACCTTGCACCTCTTGGGAAATCTCGAATTATTTCAAAGTGGAAGGTTTTAAACAATGTACCTGGATTTTAGGTTTTCCTTCCCGCCTGCTCTCACTCTATGATCAGATCAATTACTTTAATAGGAGAAAGATAAATGAGAATCTTGATGTACTGCCGGTGGGGTTGTTACCTGGAACAGCCACTTTGGAAAATAGCTTGATAAGATCTGCTGAACCTAAATGTGCAGCTATCCTAGGATGCAACGATTCCACTTCTAGGTATGTACCGAACAAAATCGTGTGTGTGTATGTGTGTGTGTGTGTGTGTGTACAAAAAGACATACACAAATATCCACAGAAAATTCACTCATAATAGCATAAAAACTGGAAGTAACCCAAACGTCTATCAACATGAGCATGGTCACACTGTGACATGGTCACACACTGGACTAGCACACAGCAGAGGTTCTCAGAGTGAGGCCCAGTGACACGGGGAGTCCCCAAGACCCTCTCAGGGCATCTGAGAGGTCAGTACGATTTTCACAATCTCACCAAGACGTTGTGTGCTTTTTCATTCTCATCGCACAAGTGCCTGGAGGAGAATTCCAGAAGCTACCGGACGTGGTACCTAAACAGACAGAATGTAGGAGCCCATGTGCGACTCCAGCTCCTCGCCCTGGAGGGAGACACAAAGAGATGGGAGAGAAGGAAACGCAATGCCGCTCGATTCGCTACATGTTTTGAAAATATAGTTATTCTTTATTAAAAATACGTTACGTGTAATGAGTTTAATATTATTCCAAACGAACTAATACATAAATGTTTGGAGACTTCTCGGGTTTGTTTTATATTTCAGTAAACATTCATAGACAAGACAAAAAACACAGTATGTAAATGAGCTCTTTGGAGACCCCAACAGTATTTAAGCACCTCTGCTCCTCCCTGCCCGTCATGAGTAAGCATCTTGCCTGTGACTGTCTCTTGAAGATGGGGTCCCTTAACCCACCGGCAGGAATAGGTGCACTGCCCACCTCCCCTCCCCCGATCATGCCAGCCTTAGTGCCGAGTGCCAGCATTGCTCAGTTACCGCCCCGGCGCTAATTGTACCCACCCTAAGAACTGCCACTGAGTCACGTGTAATAAATTGGCCTGGTCTCCCGGATGAGCCCTTCACTTAGCGCTGTTACTCAACAGGTTCAGGATCTGTGCTACTGGACCTTTTCTCTCCCTTACCCCACAGTGCCCCCAACCCTTGGTGGGTCCCTCCCGCTTTCCACCCAGGAAGCAGCCGCAGGACACCCAGATGGCAGATCGGGACACCTCTCGGGGCCCGGCCGGGAGAGTGCAGTCAGCTCATTAGCACAGGACACCCACTCCCTTCTGCACCGGGTGGAGGGGTGCTCCTCGCGAGCCAGGGGCCGTATTTCAGAGAGTAATTAATTGACGACATAGTAATTAATGGGCCACATTCCTGCTTCGGTGAAGTGCATAACTCCACGCTCCTGAGCCGGGGACAGGCCACGCTCTTGTTTTCTTTTAATCTGGTTTGAAAGACGAGCGCTCTCCCAGGCAGCAGGGACAGAGCCCAGTCCCGTGAGTTCATCGGTGTGGCATGTGTGGCCTCTGCGCGCTCAGAGATATGAAACGTCAACCGTCACGTCCCCTCGGGGCCTCGGGGGAGTGGGTGAGGAGCCTAATTAGCTGTGGGCCCAATTTATTAAAACTCATAAATATTCTTCTTGGAGGCAGGGTGGGAGCCGGAGGAGGGGGAGGCAGCATCTGGTGTGTGTGTGTGCGCGTGTGTTCGTGTGACTGACTTTCAGCGAGTGTGATAGAGCAGGCCAACTGCACTTGGAAGCAGAGGTGTGGATGGGGTCCCTGTTGAAGAGCGTGTCCCAGTGCCTTGAGAAAGAGCATTTAGCTAGAAGGCCTGTCACCTTGCTTTCCCCGGGGACACAAGTGTCATAAAAATAGCTGACATCACCGTCTTTCACTGCCCCAATATTTGCTAGATTCCTACTCAATTCTCAACGCTGGAAAGAAAGACTGATCGGACATGGCCCTTTTCACCCAGGACTTCGCAGCCTATGGGGAGACACCGGCAGGGCGACAGACATCCGGGCCATAGTGACCACACCACCGCCACAGCGATGGTCATAAGAGAGCAACCAGCATGTTTGGGCCACAGAAGGGCGTTGCAGCAACATCCATGATAGAGCCATATGTGCACTTTTTTTTTTTTAATCCCCACTGAGGATATTTTTTCCCATTGCTTTTCAGAGACAGTGGAAGGGAGAGAGAGAGAGAAACATCGATGTGAGAGAGACACATCGATCGGTTGCCTCCCGCATGCGCCCCGACTGGGGCTGGAGCCTGCAACTGAGGTGCATGCCCTTGGCCAGAATTGAACCCGGGACCCTTTGGTCCTCGGGCTGATGCTCTAGCCACGTAGCCACATTGGCCAGGGCTGTGCTCTTCTTTACGAGCTCCCTCCATCACAAAACGTCAGAGCTCCTGTAATTTCAAAGGAGATGGGACAGATTTTAAGAGGTTGACAACTGACCTGTGAAAGGAAAATACCTGATTTCTACGGGCAAGAGGGCTCTCTGGTGCCGCTGATGCCACTGCCGCCTGTCGCCTGCATTCAGAATGAAAGCGGAGGCTGTGTTTCAGGGAGAGGGTAGTGAAAATTACAGCAGCCTGTTTTCCCCAGTCCGCTTCATGAACCTCCTGAGTTGCATGTGGCCCACGCAGTGTGGGCGAGGAACCCCAGCTGCGGGGTGTCAGGGCCGTGGGATGGAGGAGCCTGGGTCCCTGAATCACACAGTGGAGGGGAGAGCTGCCTGCTCCCCTAAGATGCCTTTCCGCAGGACTCCCTACCTTTGCTCTGAGTGTCCCAAGCAGCAAGTAGAATGGTGGAAAAGCAGTTCTTAAAATCTGAACGGACATAACCAGTTCCCATTTTTAAACCTAACCCTAGCTAATGTTCGAGGGCTTCACTGCATTCCAAATGGGTTAGTGTGTCACAGATTCTGTCTCAAGGGAGAAATAAAGGCATTGTATTAATATTTCCCAAGGCATGCAATTACTTGAAAAAGCCCCAAATAGTCCAGACTAAAGAGTATGCTTCTCCATGAGCAGTCTGGAAATCTAATTTGTGATGGGGTAGTTGGAATTGCTTTGAATGCAATGGGGAATGAAAGGAGGGAACACTATGAATTTTTATGGAGTGCCTGGATGTGTTAAATGCTGTCTGAGATGGTTTTCATATACTATTGCGTTTAGCTAGAAAACTAAAGATGTTGAGCACCGGCACTGCCTGACCTTGGAGAAGCATTTCGGTGGATTCGTTAAGGTGCAAGGAGCAGATATCCAAACTGGTTTAAACAATAAAGGGAATTTATTGGTCCATGTAACTGGAAAGTCCAGAGATAGGGTGGGTTTCAGGACCAGCTTGTTCCAGCAGTTGCCAGTATCACCAGGGCTGTGTTCTTCCTTCTTTGTGGCAACTTCACCTTCAGGGTAGTCAGGTAGCTGCCAACTGCACCAGGATTCCACCCTTCTTGCAGGAGAAGAGAGAAAGTGTCAGCCCCACCTCATCCCACCCAAGTCCTGAGATTTGCTCTGATTGGACTAATTTATGTCCAACCCCATTCTTAAATCCATAACAGCGTCAAAGGAGATGGAGGCTGTGATTGTCCATAGCCACCCCAGAGCCCACACAAACTGTGTGGCGAAGAGGTTTAGGTTCCTATTAGGAAGGGAGGAGAGGAATAGATGCTGAGAAGCAATGAACTACAGCCCCTGCAAAAAAATAAAAATCACATTAACAATAACAGCAAACTTTCCCTGAGCAAATTGTCATGGGTCCAGTACCAGGCTGCATTATCATCTCATCCCATGTGCTTCTTGAAATTTCAAAGCCCTGAAATGTAGACACTCTTACTCCCCCCATTTTGTAGATGAGCAAACTGAGACCCAGGAGGTTCAGCACTTTGTCTAAGGTGGTGTCTCATCAGTGCCAGGTCTCAGGGGGAACTGGGTCTGATCGCAGCCCTCCCTACTTTTCACCACCGCATTGTATTGCTACCCTGGGAGGCCCTGCCTCTCCCAGCCTCAGTTTCCCCATCTGTAAAGTGAGTTGGGGTGACTTTATCACTTCTAAAGACCTTCACAGTTCTGAGGTTCTAGGCCACTGGATTTCACCCTTCTTGGGAGTCAGGAATCCTCATGCCTGCTCTCAGCTCATTACTCACCTCCCGTGAACCTTTAGCATTCACGCTTCCCTGGTCTCCGGCTCCCCGCCGATGACATGAGGAGGTCAGGAGGTCGAGAGACTGGCCTTGTTTATGGCATATTTCAGGCATGTTTGATTGGAGGGTGGGGGTATCTGTACTCCTGCCCCAGGGTGGAGTGGAGAGAAGGCTGCTGCTAGTCTCACAGCCAAGATGCGGGAAGGAAGGCCAGGCTCACAACGCCCTGACCCGCAGCCTCTCCACGGGGGAAGGGACGCATTTATCATCCTCTCTCAGATGGGCAACTGAGATCAAGTGACATAGTCACCCAGCTAGCAGTGGAGACCCAGGAATGATCAATTCCAGGCTGTTCTGATCCCAAGAGTATAGGGGGCTGTTAGCTTTGCTGAGAGCCTTTGCTTCAGCCAAGATGTGTGTCACATAAGAGCTGGGTCAATCCAGCAATACCAAAGCCAGGGGACTCTGCTCTCTAGTCATTGTAACCATTGAGGACCCAGACACACATTGGGTTAAGTGGCCTTTTTCTTGGTTCAGTCACTGGAAGAGCTAGAATACTGATCATGTCAACTGAATTGTCACCAAAATAGCTTCTAAAAGTGGACTTTGTTGTCAAATGTTCACTCACGGACAACCTGGCCATTTGTCCAGGTACCTGTGCAAGGTGGTCTTCGGTCATGAGAACTAGAGCCCGTGGTGTGTTGTTAAGGGTCAACAACCAGGTCTCTAGGAGGAATCCCTGGTTGGCAGCACTTGCTCATGATGGTGGTGTAAATACTCTTGCTATGGCCGATTTTGGGCTACTTATGTGACCTCACTGCACTGGAGCAGGGACACATGCACAGTCAGAGCTGGAGAGCTGGCCACGAGTGACTTCAACACACCACTGGCTAGAGGGAGTGGTTAATTTTTCATGCAAACTGGGACATTTTGGAGGGCACGAGGGGGACACAGTTGATGGCCATACTGAGCAACGGGCACAAACTGGGACCTTCCTAGGTAAACTGAGGCACCTGGTCATTCTCATTAGAGACCAGAGAGGCTTTTCAGACTATCTGTCCAACTCTTTTATTTTTCAGATGAGGAAACTGAGACTCTGAAAGGGGAGATAACTTGTCCAAGATGTTAAATCACATTACATAATAATATTATTGTAATACCTTTATCAAGAGCACCTCAAATGGCAAAAATTAAAAATAACCCATAGCTGCATTAGGAAGAAATGGCACAGTGTCTGTCAGATGCCACAGGAGACCAGGGAACTCACTCCATGGCTTGGTAATGGCTTCATTATCTTGGGGGCAAATGTGAACTGGCTCTACCTAGTGATCCATGAAATTGCTGTCACCTGAAGTCATTCATCATCTGCCCCTTTGAAGCTGGGAGGGACAGCACCTAAAGCTGTATATTTGGAGCACACACAGCCCCCCTAGTGACACAGTGGTAGGGACACTGGCCAGGGGGTGTGGGAACCTGGACTCTGGCTTCATCTTGGCCTTAACTAACTGGATCCTTAGGCTTGTTGCATTCCCCTCTGCATTTCAGATTCCTTACTTTAAAAAGGAGTATTGTTTTTACAAGTGTTGTTTTTGTTTTGTCCACAAAGTGATTTTTTTTTTTAGAAATGCACATAAGACAAGTGCTCACCAATGTTACAGCTTCCCTACTCCCTACCACTCCCTATTGTCTAGCAGCTTGCTTCATTCAATTTAAATTTTATGACTGGCACATTTCCTAAACCTGGGTTGCCAGATGTGACAAATTTAGTGAAGAGAAGGTGGGATCACGGCAGTGTAGCCCTCTGGCATTGCTTTTTCATGGGTACTACCTGGGCAACTATTAAGTACCCCAATAAGCAGCCAGCACTGGGTGACGCACTTTGCATGAACCACCTCATTTCATCTGCACAGCCACTTGATGTGGTACCTTTAATATCCCTGCTTCATATATGGAGAAACAGACACAGAGAGGTTAACTGACTTTCCCACGGACACACAGCAGAAAAATGAGGAGCCAGAGCTCACACCCAGGCAGCCTGGCTCCAGGGCCCACACCCTTAAAATGCCAGCTCTAAATGGACCACAACCACGTAAGCAATACCTGATCCAGAATAAACACAGCCAACTAGAGGGCATCCGCTCCAGCCTTTCCTGGACATCCCGCAGGCCCTGTTAGCCAAAGACCAGATATTAGCCTGCAAACTCTTCATCTGATGGGTGAATTAAACTCAAGTTATTCAGAAGATCCAAACAAGGAACAACACATGCTTCCAACCTCTTTAGTTTGGAAACACATCCTGAGGGATTTCTTGCAAGTTTCTCATTATTTCCTAGTATATCCCGGACGGAAACCCATGAATGAGAAAGGCAGTGCTCCCACCCGGTGCCCCCTGAAGTCTACAGGGCAGACCCAGCAATGGGAACCAGAGATCGCTAACCCCTTCCAGAGAGGACTCAAGCAGCGTCTCATCTTGGCCACATCTCCCTGCCCGCTGCGGAGAGACAACATGTCGTGTTGCATTTTTAAACCGCTCGACCCTGTAATCTGCCGCTGATACACATGTGCTGCGGGCCCGGCCCCGCACCGGCCAGCCTTCCACGGTTTCCCGGCCTCCAAAGGCACAGGCCGGCCAGCTATTGCCTTCGGAGGAGACATCTGGGCAATCTCAAGGCAAGATGGGAATTCAGGGATCTCACAACTTGGCCCTCTTGTGAACTTGCAGCTCCCTCTGTTCAACTGACCTCAAAATTGCCTGTGTCCCTGGGATATGCTTGGAGGCGGTGAGTGCAGCCCCGGGCCAGGGCTTCTAGCCACACCCGACACACATGGGCTCAGGCTCCTGAGCAGTTACCGAGACGACTGGGAGGAGCCCTGAGTGAGGACTGGCTGCCCATTCGCCTGGGGGGGTCTGGAGGCCTGTTTCCCCTCAGGTCACGGCCACCAGGTCATTCTGTCCAAGCCTCCTGATGTGAGACAGTTTGTGCCAGCCCCATTTGTGGTTCCAGTTTCGGTGGGAACTTCAACATCTAGAGAGTCATCACGCCTCGAATGGGGAAAACCCTTAAATGTTCTCTTCTTGTTGGGAGCCAGGTAAATGCCTTTAGCAAAGGGGGTGTAGGGCACCCAGATGCCAGGCGACGCGGCATTCAACACCTCTGCTCTCAGCCCCAGAGAAGTTCCACGGGGAAAAGAGGCTATAATGGGGAGTGAGGGAGCCTGGGGACAACCCTAAAGTTGGGGGCACAAGGAGACTGTGTCACTGTGAGACACCAGGCCAGTCGCTTTCCCTCTCTGGGCTTAGGTTTGTCTGTCAATACAAACAATAATGACAGTAACAATAAGAACTGCTGAGTTTTAATAGTGATCACTGATTGCATGTGTCTCTCATTTGCCTGAATCATCTTATTTGAACATCCGGACAATAATTCTGTGAGGGAGGCATTAGCATTTCTCCGTCTTTACAGATGGGGAAACCGAGGCACAGGATGTGATGTAACCTGCACAGGTAAGCTACAAAGCTGGGGTAGGAGTGAGGTCATTCGGCTCCAGGCCTGCTTTCTTACGCACCACGCATACTGCCTCCCTGGTGATGGGCCTGCGTGGGAGCAGGGCTCCCTAGCCTGGGGCACCCCGTGCTGGGTTTCCGTGGGTCCTTCCTGTCTCCTGACCTGACCGGGCTGTGTATACACACACATTTCTCCCCATTCTTAGATCCTTAGAAACCTCAGGAGTGCTCCTAACCCTCGAAAGTGATCATGAACCAAGAACCAGCAGGTTGGTGACCTGGGAGCCACCACTGTCCAGCACAGAGCACTCTCATCTCAGAGCTAAACGGCTTAATTTCCCAGCCTGTGGCTGCTGTCCCGCCTCCCTCTGCACCCTCCTACCTCCTGCTCCAATGCCCCTCCCATCCCAGCTTACCAAGCACGGCCACCCTCCCCTCCTGTGAAAACTTTGCCTCCAGAGCAAGTATTTCACTGTCCCCACTTCAGAACATCACCCATGTCACCTCCATCCCCCCCTCCCCACCCTCATCTCCACCACCAAGGGGGGAATTCAGAAGTGAGGGCTATGGTGAGAACAACAGGATTTCAGGCAGGCACGTGGCTCGGACCCCACTGTGCCTGGTGCCTGTCTGTCTCGCTGCCTGTCCAGGGGCAGCTGGACAGTCACAGGGTGCAGGGAGAGTCACATGGACCTGCACTCATGCTCTGCTCCTGTCACCGCAACAATCTCTTCATCGGCCTCGATCTTCTCATCTGTGAGATGGGGGTGATAACAATGCCGACCTCACAGGCTGTTGGGAGGATTCAATAAGGGAGAACCCTAACCCCTGGGCACTGCCAAAAGGTTAGCTGTCGTGATTGTCCCTGTCGTCATGATGGTCACTGTTACTGACACGTTCCCCTGGCCCTTTCTGGACGCACCTCGCCCTGGTCTGTTTCTCTTTATCTTAGACTTCTCCCAGCTCTGAGCCTTCAGGACATAGCTCTCGGTCTGTTCTCCAGAAGAGAGCACAGGAAGAAAAAAAAGTAGAATCTTCCGGAAGCTGCCAGCTCGCTGGCCTGGATGCTTTTCACACTCGGATTTCCCTTGTTAACGCACCGCTCGCTTCGTGGGCTCCACGCAGAGACGCTCAGACTTCTGCGCGCGTGAGAACAACCTGCAGCATTTGCTTAGAAACACGCGGGTTCCCTTTCCATTCCAACGGAATAGGTGTTTTCGATTCTGAGGTGACAAATCCACGAGACCAAGAAACGCCACCTGACAGGCCCTCGGGCCTGTCCTCCCAGCTGCCAGCCCCTCCCCGTGTGCCCGAGAAGCATCCCCTCCTTGTCAGGGCCCGGCTGCTCCGGGCTGCTGGCTAAGACAATGTGGTCGCCACATGCACAGCACCCAACAGGGGACACTGGGCAAATGTTATTCCAAGGATAACAATGATTCCACTTAGGAAAACAATGATGAAAATCTGCACTAAGCGACTTTAAGCCCCGATACCCTCCCCGGTCCCCACTCAGGGAGAAGAAGGGAATGAGACTTTGTCACTTGAACCGGCAGCTGTGTTTCATCTGGACTTCATCTTTTCTGTGATCGTCTTTATTAGCAGGGTTTTTTTTTTTAATGAGTAAGTTTCGACCTACCAGGTGTTTTGAATTTTTGTCTTGTTCACTTGCTTACATGAGGAAACGCAAATAAAGACCAATGTGTTATTAAAAACCCGGGGGAAGGAAAGGGCTGCCCTCCGCCCTCCCCCAGCTCTGGGTGCAGTTCCTGGTGCAGCCACCAGGAGTCGATCTTGGGAGCATTATCTATCCCCTGGCAAGCCGGCTCCTAC